ATTGGCAGGTCGGAGGGGAGTGCTGCGAGCCCGAGACCATGGTAGCAGCAGATGTGCTCTCTGGTTCAATTCCTCAAACATTTAGATTTAGTTGGGTYCTCCTCGCCAAGACCCATGATATGTTAGGACTTAGGATCAACGACGACAAAAGCCCTATGGCTGTTTTCATATTCAAGGTTGAAGCAAGAAATAATTAATGGAGACAATGGTGGGGCTGGGGGATCTATCACAATAAGACCTATTTTTAAATTATTAATTTATTTATGTTTATTATTTTAATATGTGTGAAGTAACCATCCATTTGGACTCCAAATTACTAACTATTAATGAAATAGTAGCGAGGGTGACATGCATATAAAAAACTGAATGATTGCTATGGATTAGAGGCTGTTTGAATTTTATCGATCATTATCAATCTCTGAAATATTAAGAACAGTTTATTGCTGCAGTTCTTTGAACTGTTACATAGATTAAGATTATTTACCTAGATAAGGATTTTGGTGTGATCATAATTTTTTTTTATATTGCACTTAAATTTTTGTAAGAAAATATATATATATATATATAATTTATAGGGGTATACCGAAAAGCCCGAAACACCACCTGTAGGGGTATACCGAAAAGCCCCCTATATGATATATATCGACTGATATGACCCGATACTATCAATACTTTAAACCTTGTTTATATACCAAATTTACGAGAGAAACCAAGTAGAAAACTATCAAATATATTATCTGCCTGAATTGGGTAGATCTAAATTCAATTGAAGGGAAAAATTCCTTAAGAACTTTCTCTTGACTTTCTGTTTCTTCTATCAAATCAAACACAGCCTAAATGTTCATATCAAAGTAATTTTTGGAAAGAAATCCTTATGTTCCTTTCAGACCTATAGAAACAGCAGGAAAAGAGCGTTGCAGAAACTGGAGAGAGAGAGAGAGAGATTCACAAGGTATTGGAAAAACAGGTCTCTTCTATAGCAAAGATAGAAAATAAATCAATCCCCCAATTCTACTATTGCAACTTTGCAAATTGCAACTCGACAATATAAGGCTTCATTTGGAAAGAGTATAAATGCAGAGTACAAAACCTTGTATTTTGTATGTACTTATATTGTATATATTTGTATTCGTGCTCTTTTCAAATTGAGTCTAAGGCCGTGTTTGATTCAGTGCAATTTTATTTGCATTAATACAAATGTATGTGTTGGAGAAGATGGGGTCACTGTAACTTTGGAGGAGAAGCTTTGAGGCGCATCTGAAGACATTATCTTTAGAACGTTATTTGCTCCCACTCAGTTTTACTGAGTTTGCTGTTGGGTTATAGGCAAATTCGTTCCCATGATACAATAGAGCCTTGGGCGAGAATCTGCAACTAGCAAAGTTGAAGAGTCTCCAAAGAAACCTTCTGTGAAACTGTAGCAGACCGGACTGAGAGAGAGAGAGAGAGAGTGAATTTCGAAAATGTGTGTTTTGGAGTCTGATTCATGCTCCTTAAATAATTTGTGAAGAGGTATGAAGAAAAGGTAGGTGCTGGTTTAGAGAAGGCATCTTGAACAATCACAATTTCAAACATTGTGACTGTTTAAAAAGTAGTTACTGTTAACTTTGAATTGTGCCTCTTGATCACACCCAATCGAATCGTGACCGTTGATCTCATCAACGGTCATCAACGCACCAAAACCAAAGCTGCCCATTGCGAGCCACGCAGGTGCGAGGAAAGTGCGCCTCATTGTGCAATATCGAATCCCCATACTCTCCTCTACTAATTGTAAGGAGTGTAAATCAACTCCTATTGAAATACTGAGAACAAAACTTATAATTTTCCAATGTGGGACAAGTTCAAAACTGGGTTTTATAAGAGAAAAACTGATTTTTTCAATCAAGTGTACAAGTGCATTTTCTCATGTAATTGATCAATCAAACCCATTGGATTTAATCTCTCATGAGATTAAAATCCAACAGTATGAGAGTACAAATGAAAAGAATACAAAATTTGGCTTAATTTTATTTTGGGTTTTACTTTGTTCTGTTTCAGATTTTTTTTTTTGACTTCATTTCTACTGCAATCAAATAAAATAAATAAATTCTAAAATAAAAATAAATCATAATTTGCACCAAAATCATTTATGCTACCATAATTTTGGTCGACACAAATAAATTCGCAACCAAACACAGCCTAAACAATAACCAAAGCGATGAAAACCTCGGTGCTTTGTTCGTTGAAACCCTTACTTTGTGAATTAAACCTTTGCGTGTAGCCAAAAAGTGTGGGGAAGGTCCCGCTCCATTGAGCACAAAACAGAGACTGAGGGCTACGTGTTCAGCACTACACATTTAAAATGCATAAATAAATAAAAACTGTGATGAAGAGAAGCAAATTGTTGACTAAATTGTGCAAATAATTTGACCATTTTCAATCCCCACCAAAGCACAAGCCACAAACTAACAACAATCTTGTAGCTGTCATCTGGGTCCCATGTACCCAACGGCTCCTACAATTTTAAGCATCAGCATCATCGTCAATAAAGTTGATTATAGTGACTTGATTCACTTAGCATTATTACCTTAATATAGAATTAAACAATTAATAAAATAAGATCCAAGAGATTAAAAAAAAAAATGAAAATAGATGGAGTTTGCTGACAATTTGTTATTGTTGGGCTATTTAGGCTACTTCTTTTGACCTTGACAATATGCTATTGTTGGGCTGGAACAATGGTGGGACAGCTCAGAAGGGGTCACGTGTGATGCACGTGGATGATAAAAACCTTAGAACTTTCTCTTGCTACCTATTTCTACTTGCTCTTGACAGTTCTTGTTACCTCTTTGTTGTCTTTCTTTTTAATATTTATCTATTTTAAGCAAAAAAAATGTTTTTTAAAGTTCTGGTTCAACCATCTGGGTCAATGGATCAATTTGTGATATCATTAATATAAAAATTGAAAAATATAATAATACAAAATCCAATAGGCCAAGCACTAGCAGGTGAGCGGTTCAACAATTCAGGTCAATGTACGAGTCACTGAGTTGCTGACTCTAAATCAGCGAGTTTTGTAACCTTGTTAGAGGTTGACCCAAACCAGAATTGTGATCCAATATGCCTAATACTAATCTATATTATTGGGTTTTCAACCCAATTCATGCATGACTTAACATTTTACACAAAAAGAGTCAAGTAGTTAATTAGTATGTCATCTTTCTAGGCAACCAGTTCCAGCTCTGGGCCTTCTGGCCCAATATCCTGTCTAACAACTATCAAAAATTATTTCTTTTCATCCATATTACAAGGCAAACTCATGTTCTACAAAACCTGGACTCATCCACTGTGGGGTTCATGCCAAGTAATGCATAGTTTATCAGTCACTGTGGGCGCTTCCATTAATGTGTACTCAGTTTAGCAGAAGTCGTTTTCTTTCTATTAGCTATATTATGCTTTTCTTAAGGTCTATAATATTTTATAGCCCAATTGCTTTAGGATGTATTATAGATTTATAGTTCATAAGTGATATGATTATTGATTTATTGTATTTACAAATATGAAATCATGGATGATGTATGAGCATATATATAAATCGATGGATTTAATAAGGAAAAGGTGATTTTATTATTATTATTTTTTGGGGATGGGATAGGGATTTTTTTTAGGTTTGGGCACATTCCATATTTTAACAAAGGGTACATGTCCTAATCATTTGTTAAAAATATATGTTTTAAAGACAAAAATACCCTCATATTAACTTTTATAATTGCAAAAGGTAGTAGGCTCTTTACTTTTTGCGTTTTCACCCAGGATGTTTGTGACTTGTAAAAGAGTGAGATGCGCCCCAAACCAGTTTCTCCCCCTATATTGCAAAAAGACAAAAGCTAAATACAAAGCTGTTTTTTCCTCTGGTATCCTGGTTGGTTCAGCCTTGAGGGTTATTTAGCTAGACTGATTTGAAAAGCATATTATTACTATCAAAATGGAGGAAATTCACCCAACCACAAGTTCTCAACATAAAAACAATTCAATTGTAATGAATTTCGAGTATTTGTTACACTTCAAATAAAAAATTTCAACCAATCATGTTAAGAATTTTGCTTTTTTAGGTACAGTTGGGTTCATGCAGCATAGATTTTGGCTTCAATTAATGAATATAGGTTTTATCAAAAAAAAAAAAAAGAAAATCGAGTATGCATAGGAGGGTCTCAATTCCCTATGTGGCCTCACAACTGTGATGTTCAGCTTGAATCTCACCCACACAATGAAATAATGTGGATTCTAATCCAGTGGTTGATGCATGTTTTTACTTGGATTTGGTGGGTAGTAGTTAGGTGCTTTATGAAAAGGCCAAATTCACAGCCTGCCAAGTTGCCAGCCAGCTTGGTGTGTCATCACATCATTCATCACTCGTCACTGTGGTCAAAAAAGAAAATAGAGGAAACAAATATCTGGAGGGCATTTTAGTCAACTTAAGACAAGGGGTAATAGGGGCATTAGGTTTTATAATTAAACATGTTCTCTAATTCCCATTGGACGCGAGTCGTGAGGCTAGAGATCGAGACGCAGTCGGCGCTTTTGAAACCTTCTCTGTTCGCCGTTGCTTGACCGTTTCATGCTCCATTTTTCTCTTTACCACGGGAAATCCATCCACCTGTGACTACTGAGCAGTAGAATCTGAGAAAAAGAGTGAAAATGTAGAGTTATCGGTTAGATTTTTAGGTGAAAATTAGAGAATTTAAGCAAGTGTTCGAATGTTGCTAAAAATCTATTATAATCAAACGATAGATATTTTTCATTTATCTTTTTTCTCTTTTACCCTTTCTTTTTCGTGCATGGGTGTCTCACTCTCATGATTTTCCACTTTCCACTATAAAAGCTATATTTTGCCTCGCTGAGCCTTCCCTCGGGGTCTGATCTTCTCCACCACATTATCTCTCTCGCCCTCTTCGTTATCTTTCATGTTCTCCTCTTGAAAGCTTGGATTTTTTTGGGCTTCTTGTAGGAGCTCGAGAGACATGGAAGCTGTTCTGCAGACCAAAGGCCTTCTTTCTTTGCCCTCAAATCCCAAAACCAGAGTTCTAGGCTCGCCGCAGGGGCTCAAATACCGGCTTAGCGCTAAGAGCAATAGAGCTCTTGGTGGGTTTTCTCTTTCCGTTGATGGGTTCCAAAAATTTCATGGCTTTGTGTCAAGAACTCATGGGTTCTGTAAGAAAGGAAGAGATTTGCAGATTTGCAGGGCAGAAGCTGCGGCTGCTGCAGATGGGCAGCCGTTAATTGGTGAAGTGGAGAAGCCCAAGTTCTTGGGTATTGAGGTCTTGACCCTTAAGAAGATTATCCCACTTGGGTTGATGTTCTTCTGCATTCTCTTTAACTATACTATTCTCAGGGACACAAAAGATGTCTTGGTTGTGACTGCTAAGGGCAGCAGTGCCGAGATTATTCCATTTTTAAAGACGTGGGTTAACTTGCCTATGGCTGTTGGATTTATGCTCTTGTACACGAAGCTCGCCAACGTTTTGTCAAAGAAAGCTCTCTTCTACACTGTAATTGTTCCCTTCATTGCCTTCTTTGGGGCATTTGGGTTTGTTCTCTATCCCCTTAGCCATTTGTTCCATCCCACAGCGCTTGCGGATAAGCTTTTGGCAGCTCTTGGACCGAGCTTCCTTGGTCCGGTTGCGATTCTTAGAATTTGGAGCTTCTGTTTGTTCTATGTCATGGCCGAGCTATGGGGCAGTGTGGTGATATCAGTTCTGTTCTGGGGTTTCGCTAACCAGGTGATAATACTTATCTTTTGCCCTGCTTTTCTTTCGAAATTTGGTTTTAGTTTTTTATTCCATTTATTTGTCTAGTTGAATTCTGGTACTTGTTTCTCTGTTTTCGAGAAATATATCTAAATAGGGGATACTTTTTAATGACTATTGCTTGTAATCTTTGATGACATGGCTCCATTTCTTGTTCTTTGTCAGAACAGACTTCTCCGGGGGCTGGAAGGGTTTTGATTATTTGATGTGGTTTGATGTTTAAGTTGTGTTTTATTGGAATCTTGTTATTGATAGGATTTGTTGCTCCGAGGAGTTTTTTATTCCTTTTTGTTATTCTTCTTAAGATGGACATCCTGCTTCATAAAATATAAATTTGGATATCTGGAAGTGGTTTCATAATCTTAATTTAATTTTTTTTCCTACTCCAGATTTTGGACTGGAACATGGCCTAAAGGGGGTTGGGTTGGAAGAAAATATTGGGGGTTTTAAAGTTCTTTAGATGTTTTATATGAACTGGTTCACTTTCTATGGTTTTGTTAAGAAAATTCCAAACATATCGTTGTTTCCAGAGTTGGCTTATTGGTTGGATTCCAAGAAGTCTTTCATTAGCCTATTCCTTACAAATAGAAATAAAAGCTTTACTAGGTGGCCACTCCCTTTATGGCCTACTCTTTTTCTGCCACTTGGATGGATTATGAAGTTGATTCAACCATACACCAGATGGGGGACCCTCTGAGTTGGCCATGTGATTTGATCCCTCAGTTGTCATCCCTGCACTCCAGCTTGTATTGCTGCTTCTCCCAAATGATATAGCCACCAAAATTCCATGCTAAAGACTATCACCCATGGAAAGGTTTGTTGTGTACATGCGGCAATGTCTTTTGGGGTGGGAATTTACCCATGAACAGAGGGTTGAGACTTGAGAGAGGAAAATGATGGTCCTTTTGGGCTTAAATCATGTGGGTGTATGCTGCTATATTCTTTCCTTTGGACTTTTGCCTTTTGAGAAGGTTGCAGACCTGAATAAATTCTCCATTACCAGTTATAGCTTCCTTTTTTTGGTTGCAAAGTGATTTACACCATATATTTGGAATTTGGATTCGTTACTCATAACTTTTTCATTTGCAAGACTTGCTTACTTGTCCTAAACATTATAAATATTCTTGTAACCAGTTAATCTTATGGTTGTTACAATGAGGTCAAAAAGAACACCTTCTTTCAAGATGACTTCTGCAAATCTCATGTGAATATGGTGCCAATACTCAATTTTGGTTCCAGCAGTCTGGGATCTTGGGAGGAATGGATTGCATATGGACTTGACCTCTGGCATTTTTGGCACATGTGAATGTAGTCTAAAATGAATATTTACAAACCTAAAGAATTCTGATTGTGAATTACTTTAGTTAAGAAGTTTAACAATTATATGCTGTTGTCAATTGTCTCACTGTTCATGTTTACATGACATAAGAGTATGCTGATTTAGTGAATAGGTATTGTTGAGTAAGTGACAAATCTAGGGTTAAATTTTGTGAATTTTGAGTTTGTGGGTAAATTCTTCTTCTTTAGAGTGGCTCAAGTACGAGTTATTATAGTTCCTTTCTGCCAAACAATTTTAGTGGCAATATACTTATATTCTCTATTGTAACTGATGATAGAATGACAAAACTACAGCCTTGGGTGAGATAGCACGCACGTTGTTCTAGGATTCACACATGTTAGTGCTATGTTTCCTTGATCAGTTCTATTGTATGTATTTTGGCTACAAGAATTTCTTTTCTTCCGTAAAGCTTATCCAATTCCCTGATTCATATTTAAAGTTTGGTACAGTGAGTTGTAATAATCTTTGCTTACTCTTTGCTGCAGATCACTACAGTTGAAGAAGCCAAAAGATTCTATCCATTGTTTGGTCTTGGAGCCAATGTTGCTCTTGTTTTCTCCGGCCGAACAGTAAAGTACTTCTCTAATCTAAGGAAAACATTGGGCCCTGGAGTTGATGGTTGGGCTGTTTCTTTGAGAGGTATGATGAGCATTGTAGTGCTGATGGGGCTTGCAATCTGTGGTATTTACTGGTGGGTGAACACTTTTGTTCCTCTTCCCACCCGTAGTAAGAAGAAGAAGGTAAGCTTTATAATGTTGAATTGGAATTGCTTTCTTTTTATTTGCCTTTTGTGGTTCACATGGGTCAAATGGGGACATGTGCCTATTATACAAAATGTATTGTTTCTAGTTACTTGGACTATGGGACCTATGGAGATGGGTTTGCTTCCACAGGGGCTGACACGGGAAGTCCAGCTCATCTATTAGGGGACTATTTGGACCTGCCACATGTAATGTTTTGTTTTTAATGTTAGGCAGTCCTACATGTATTGGGGGATCAACCATTCGGTCAAGGGGTAAAATAAACACATATGGGGATGGGGGCCAACCCCATAATATAAGTTGGGATTCTGGGGTATGGGGGGGACCAAGGCTCCCCTGGGTCCCCTTGGCTCTGCCCCTGGTTGCAAAGCAAGGTGCCAGAACCTTTTTGTGTGTGGGGCATGGGCCATAGAGGCATGATACTCGAGCCTCACAAATGATAGTTTAGTGGCATACACAAACTTGATGAATCTCTGACATGTCAAGGATCTTGGTGCCTGATGATATATGGATGCAATATTTCAAATCTGGTGATCCTTACTGTCCCTGTTTTCTGGCTTCATATTGTATGCAGTAACAACTTGATTGGGTGTTTAGTGTTTATAATAGTCATTTCTAATAGAATGTAATTTCATGGCAGGATAAGCCCCATATGAGCACAATGGAAAGTTTGAAATTCTTGGTGTCCTCGAGATATGTCAGGGACCTAGCCACTTTGGTGGTTGCTTATGGCATTAGCATTAACCTAGTGGAGGTTACATGGAAATCGAAACTCAAGGCTCAGGTAAGCAAATTCTAGCTCAAATGCATTGTTCTCTTCCTATWTGCCAGGAAATGCAGTTCTCTTAGCACCATTTTCCATTTCTCCAATTTTCCAGTTCCCCAGCCCAAATGAGTATTCATCCTTTATGGGCGATTTCTCTACTGCCACTGGAGTAGCAACTTTCACAATGATGTTACTAAGCCAATGGATATTTGACAAATATGGGTGGGGAGTTGCAGCCAAAATTACACCCACAGTGCTTCTACTCACAGGGGTTGGATTCTTCTCTCTAATTTTGTTTGGGGGCCCATTGGCCCCTGCAATTGGGAAGCTTGGGATGACTCCTCTGCTTGCAGCTGTATATGTGGGTGCCATGCAGAATATCTTCAGTAAGAGTGCAAAGTACAGTTTATTTGATCCTTGCAAGGAAATGGCTTACATCCCGTTGGATGAAGATACCAAGGTTTGGACGAAACCTGATGACTTGTGCTTGCTTTTGGGTTGACGTTTCTTTCTTGCCATCATTAATAATTTGCATGCTCACAGGTAAAAGGGAAGGCAGCCATTGATGTTGTCTGCAATCCTCTGGGGAAGTCTGGTGGTGCTTTGATCCAGCAATTCATGATATTGACATTTGGGTCACTTGCAAATTCGACTCCCTACCTCGGCGGAATTTTGTTGGTGATTGTTTTCGCATGGTTAGCGGCAGCAAAATCCTTGGATGGCCAGTTTAATGCCTTGCGCAAGGAGGAGGAACTTGAGAAGGAGATGGAGGAGAGAGCTGCAGTTAAGATACCAGTTGTTTCCAAAGATGGGAGTAATGGGCAGGTTGAGCAAGGGAATGGGTCATTGGCAACTGGATCAGCGCTGAATCAAGCAACAGAAGATGTCTCCAGCAGTTAGTCTGGGCCGTCTGGCTCTTAACTAGGAACAGTAAGATACATTCTTAGTGGATTCATTGGTAGGATTAGAACCTTCTTCTTATTCTCATGGATGAAATAATCAGATCTCAGTTAGATGTGCAACTGATTAATTTAAATCCATTTTTGGTAGGAAATAAATCAAATAGTTGCGTTTTTTTTTTTGGGTTTTTTAGATTAGATTGTGAAATTCATGGAAATCCATTGGATATATTGATATAAAAGTTTTCTGGAATGTATTTCACTGTCATGTGTCTAAACTCATTCTATTCTCTTTTCTAAATTGGAGCATGGACTAGTATAGTATTTACCAGTAACATGAAATAAAATAAATATAATGGAAATATCATATATTAGCAATTTGGCATGTATTAAGTAAATATTTTTATTTTGGTACGAGTATTACGTAAATATATGGTTTACAAAAACTGTAACAAAATCCCTATGAATGTTCTGAAACTCTGAAAATTTTCCTTTCATTCAGAGTTCAGGCCAAATAAAAACCTTGACTCGTTGGTTTTTAACGGAGTGGTCCGTGATCATGGAGTTGGATGGGTGTTACTTTAGCTGTCAAATTGTGTTGTTTCATTATTGGAGTTGAAGAAAATTGGCTCGTATCCTCATAATTAGAAATCAAATCTAATTTTAGTTTTCTAATTTCTACTAAAGGAAAAAACTGGCATAAAGGCTATTTGCTACTTCACGTTCAATTCAAGCAACGATCCAATGTATCGATAGATGTTAATTCTCGGAATAAGTGATATGCGACATACTATGAATTAGGTAATATCAGTAAGGAGATGTTTGGGATTGCTGGTTTTTATGATTTCTGAGATCACCGATTTCTCAAAAATCAAAGAAATTATTAACAATGATTTTTATGTTTATAATAACTATTTCCCTATCCATCTCAAATGCTATATCATCCAAAATAATTAGAATTGGAATGAACAAAGGAATCATCATTTTTTATGATTCTTCTTTTTAACCCAATTTTAATAATCGGTTTCTCACTAATTTGCCGATTTCTCATAAATCAATCAATTAAATAGCAAAATAATTGGTGATTTTGGAATTACTGATGTGACTCTGATGTGTTGCCGATTTATGAGAAATAGGCATCGATCCCAAACACCACCTAAGAATTTAGGAGTACCAATATTTTGAAGTTTAAACTTTGATTCAAGCAAAATCATCATCATCATCAAGCTTTATCCCGACTGTATGGGGTTGGCAACATTAATCCTATTTCACCGTTTCATTTTGCTTAATGCTATATCTGTTGCATGGTTTTTGACTGTCGTTGACCCGGACGGTCAAACTGTTTGGCCTGGAAATCATTCAGGCAACCGGTTCTGTTTTATCCTAAACCTGATCTCTGGCCAAAAACCGTTGAATCAGTCAACGTTTCATTGATTAGGGCAGTCAAACCGTTGACCCGTTCAACAGTTTTGGTCGTTTTTATTTTTAATTATTTTTTTAATTTTTGTTGTCAGAATGGGCTATCTATTCGAACCGAATGGTTGAACCATTGACCTGAAAATTGGTGGCTAGAATGGTTCTATTTCCGGTTTGTTTTTTAAAACCATGGTCTGTTGTTAAACTGTGGGCACTTAAATCATTTATAAGGCTCATGTCCTTTCTGGTCTACCCTTGGCCCTTTTAGCCCTTCAACTTGCAATAAATAATTTCTTATAGGTTCTATTGGTAGTCTTCTGTGCATGTGGCCAAAACATATTAGTCTACTTTCTCTCATTTTATCAATAGATAATTTCTTTTTCTACTTTTGAATGATTACATTTTTGACCCCTATTCTATTTTAATTTTTTTCACTCATCCATCTGAGAATACCCATTTTTGACACACTTTTTTTTTTTTGTTGATTCAAGCAAATTGCATACCTTTAAGTTGTGTTTGGTTTGAAGGAAAAACTAGAAAAACGTATACAAATTCCCTTTCTCTACCTTCTCTTTCAAACCAAACATAGCCTTTAAGTTTTCCATACTGAGTATGGGGCTCATTTACTAATATATGCATACAATCAAGGTTCAAAGTATTTGGGTTGATCATGGACCGAGCTGGTTTTTCTAAATCTTGGGCTGACAACCGATGTTATTTTGATATGTTGTGGTAACATGGTGTAGTGGTGAGGATTATTACATGTCATATTTTGAGGTAGCCTGTCTCCCTACAATACTCATAAGCCCCCAACCAGGTGGGAACTGATCCAACTATTCCAAAGTTTCGGTCACAACTAGGCGAAGGCCAAAACCCTTGCCAATTGTGGCAATCGGTATCCCGGCTTTGATACCTATAACCTCCCCAACCTGGGTGGAAGTTGTTGGGATCTATATTAATGAATACATGTGATGCGTCGCAATCCGGCTTCTCCTAATTGGAGATGATTTGACTTTCAGTAGACGATGGAGTTGGATAATCTGCACAGAGAGAATTAGAGAACCGGGGGTGCTTACCCAGCGAGGTCGCTACAATGCTTAAGTCAGTAATTTGCAAGCTGATGGTAGCTTAGAAAGCAAGAGAGCTGGTGAGCAGAGATTACGTGTACCTTTGCCCCTGAAAAGTTGGGGTCTTTATATACTGGAGTACTTGCGGGTTTTCTGGAGTGGTTCCGGGATTCTTGCTATGATAAGGCTCGTATCCGTATTAACAGGAGATAATGCTGCTAGCTGATAAGACTTATCACTACCGCCCGAATCGATCAGGGGAGATAAGGCTATCTGTTATGAGGCGTGATCCCGTAAAGCGTGGAATCTGGTGGAGGGATCTTTGGGGTTGTCATGCAGAGGTCGGTCAATATTACCCGAGCTAGTGCCCTTTGGATTTGACCTGGTTCGAATGCCGAAGTGCCTTGGAACCAAGGTGGTCCTAATGCGATCGTATCCCGAGGTGAACTTGTCCTGAGGTGGACTTGCCCCGAGGTGGGTTTGCTCTAAGGTGGCTCGGTTATCCGAGCTCGGTCCGTTGTAGACTTGATGTATCGGGGTGAGATGTCATCCTGTCAGTTAGGTCGTGTCCACGTATCCCCCTATTACTAGGTCGAGCCGAATCACCCTACATCAACATGCGTGTATGATTAATGGGTTGTTATGTGGGTTTTATGTGTATGAAACACTGGTGTGTTTTCTTGTAATTGGTTATAGAATATATTCATGTGTATGAATCCCTACTACAACAGATTCGGAATGAAAGTAGGAACTGGTCCCTGTCATCTTTACATTCTTCTATGTCATATTTTGGTTTCATGGGGCCATAGATCGTGAATAGCCTGTCCATACAACCAKAACCCCCGCAACCTGTGTGAAGGGGATTCCCAGTAATAGAGAGTTGGAATTGAAATCTGAAAGGCCCATTCTGATTCTAATTATTTTGGTTGGGTGGAATCGAAATCCGATTCTTGATTCTCATTCCTGGTGGAATGGCCGCCATTCCCTCCCCCTTTCTTGAGAATAAAAATCCCATTGCCAATTTGGATTTAAATTTTTATTTAAACAAAACAAATGAGAGGAATAGGCCATTCCAATTCTGATTTGACTGTGGACTAAATGGGCCCTCATTTCTCCAAGTCTTGGCTACAACTAGGCAAAAGCCTCATAAACCGAGAAAATTGGCAAGTGTACATAGTTAAATACCATATGTGCTAGTGCTAATGCAATTTGGATTATCTCCTGGCTAGGAATTTAGGAGTATTCAATAACATGGTTGTTTATGGAAACAAAAACAACTGCCACATCAGAAAAGTTGTATTGTTTTTGCTAATATGTCAGTTGTTTTTGTTTTTAAAAACAAAACCACGTCAGAAAAGTTGTATTGTTTTTGCTGAATTGTCAGTTGTTTTTATTTTCAAAAACAAAATCACATCAAAAAAGTTGTATTGTTTTTGCTGACATATCAGTTTTTTTTTTTCTTTTTAAAAAAAAACAAAACCAACCATGTTGTTGAACACCCCCTAATGTTCTAAACAAAAATGTTCTGGACACATCATGTTACAAGGTTTGGTATAGCTTCACTGTGTTGCAGTTTGAGGTTTGGACGCTCTCCACGTTGGCATTTAGACCTCAACGGTAAAAACACATGCTTGGCATATGACCCGTTTATGGTGGAAGCTGCAACACGACACAATGGCACAACGTGTTTTGAGAAGTTACAAGACATCATGCGGCAGTGAGCTGCACAAACCGATTCATTCATTTCATTTCAGGGGAAAACAATGCAGAAACCACCTCTTCAGTAGTAGTTTTTGCTTTTTACAACCAAACAGGTTTATGATCACAATGATGAGTGTTGAGTTGCCGTTTAAGATTGAAGCGCCTTAACCTTAAATACAAATCTGATCCAAAACCCATTGAGCTATGTTTGGTTTGAAAGATAAGGTAAAGAAAGGAAGGAAAATGTAAAAGTTTATTTATCTTTTCGTATTTTTTTTCCTTCAAACTAAATACAGCCTTAGGTAGCTGGCACGCGGCACTTATCTGAAAGCCTCGTCTGTATTAAATGTGTATGTATTTGGTGAGTTTATTTTGTTTTCAAGCGGGTTTAAAAGGAGAAACCGAGAAAAAAGCAAAAGCTGTTTGTTAACATGTATTTCCGGTTTTAGAAACACAAAAGTTATCCTGCTATTATGCTTCTAGAAGGTTCTTTCTTCCTTTTTTTATTTGGAAACGAACTTTTTTACAAAAAGTAAAAATGGAACCTATTTAAGCGGAAAAACGACCTACCAACCGGTCACTCCTTAAATCAGATGTTTGGTAAAATTAGGAAATTGGCTTGAATCACAGGTTGGGGTTTTACTTTTAACTAGGTAGCAGGTTGAACAGTCTTGCCATCTCGTTGGGCCATTTCATTCAACACTAATCCTCTTTAACAGCCCAATAAATATTCAGGGGTTGTAAGTAGATCTGTTTATGGACTGGGTAGTGCGAAGGAATAGTCCGGTTCGATTTAAGTCGGGCTTAGACAGGATTTCAGGCCTGCGGGCTTAGGCTTAAAACACCGAGTCTAATCTTTTTTGGGTCTGGGTTGAGTTTTCTCAAAAAAAGTTCGAGCCCGAATTAATAATATATTATAATATTTTCTTTATTATTCTTCTTTTTCTTTAAATAATAGTAAGATTTCTTTCATTATTTTTTAGGTTATGACTTTTGAGGTCTTTTAGTATAAATGAAACAGTTTTTTATTGAATAAAAAAATCTTTTTTGAATTCTTTAGCCGGATTCAGGTTCGAGCTTAGGTTTCGGACTTT